ATAATATAATATAAATACATCACGTCAGGAATTCACGATCTGTGTTACTCTGCAACACCTACCTAGATGCCACTGCCCATCCTGGCAAGCCAAAACGTTCATAGTCTCCCCCATAAATATCCCGGACTAGCTTGTCCGCTTGTGTGCTGTCGCCTTTGGATGCCATTTCTAGAGCTTCTTCAAAACTTTCACATCCGGTCAGTAAACTGCACAAACCAAGAAAGGTCCCACCACCTAGACTGAATGTGAAATACAAAGGTGACCTACTTGTAAAATTATACCTCTAAACTAATGCAACGATAATCATCTCTTGCCTATTTAAAATAAGAGATCTAATAAGATCAACTGAGAGCTGAGAAAAATGTTTGTAAAGTTATAAAGCAGGAAGTACATTTAATGAACCAAGATATAATATATGCTTTAGTTTGTTACAGTCCGCCAGTTCACAAAGTATTTGATGGACGTTATTCTGAATGTACAGGCACAACTGCAAGCAGGCCCATCTTAAGACTTCTGTTTGGAAACCAATTCACTGCAAGCCCTTAAGATGCTTCTCTGTGCCTGAGAAGTGGTTAAAGATAGTCAAATAACTTGTCAACTCAGAGCACAGTTAAATTACTGAAGCTATTACCAGAGGACTGATCATCAGCAATTGGGACTTCCAGATTTTCCTTTGATAACTACTCATTTTTTAACCAGAAGCCCTATGATTTAAAAATCCTTTTTCTAATAACTACCAGGCCATAATGTTTTTAAAAATAAACTTGAGGATGCCCATTCAATGTATTTCATAAACATAAAAACTCATATTATGAAACCAAAAGATATTTTAAAAAGTCAAAGTTCTGCACTGACATACTCTTTGAAAGACTGTTGAGAAAGCACAATATTATTGACTCACATTACTAAACTTGGCATGCATTCATATCTATACCTTGTTCCAGTCACTCTTTTGTAGTTGTCTTTGGAATGAACTGCTAAAATACTGACTCCTGAACCGATGTTTACAACCAGCAATGGGTAGGGATCATCTAGGTTAAAAGGCATCTTTTGGCATCTTTCAGGTTCTGATGCATTTTCAAAATAGTAGCATTCTGCCTGGCCATTAAAACTGACGGAATCTATATATAACAAGCCTTTGACGAGACAATCAAGTTCATCCAATTTGTGCAGCTGGAGGTCTCCAATCTCCAAAAAGAAGAGAGATATTTATTAGCATAACTTATTCCTAAACAAAACTTAGCAGGCTACACACATCTGATCTTTCATTCCAGACTATCTTCTAGTAACTTTGTAAACTTTACATCGGCTATAAGGCTCCATCTACACCAAATGAGGAGCTCTTGTGATCTTCCAGAAGTTGAACTACAATTCCTTGTAGCTTCAACCATAGCACTGGTAAAGGTGAGTAATACTGGAAGCTGTAGTTCAATATCTGGACAGCCTGATTGATATATATTGATATACTGGAGAGCCTCATGATATAGTCACTATCGAAGTATGGATGTCAAGTTTCATTTCCACTGCTTCACTAACACTATCTTGACCACACTGAATCCTTTTATAAAAATGATGCTATTACCATTTCTTTAAAAAAAAAGAACTCAGATTGCTGAAGCTGATGAAATTATTATATTGCAACTGACTGGAGAAGAGGGTTGCTGTAGCCGTAACATGCAACTCATGGCAATCAGTAAGATATGTTAGATAAGCATGTGCTACTCAGTCCACATGCCCAGCAAGTATCTGAAATTGGCTTGACTGCCTTCCATCTCTGCATGTAATACTGGGAATGGTTGGCTGCTAAACACAGGAAAAGACAAAAGGAAGGTGCCTAAACAGGGCAAGGTCCAATACACCCATACGTTACAAATTCCATCTATGTCACCATAATCACAATTTTTTGCTGTAAGACTTAACAGAACAATCAGGCGAAATCTTGCCAGTCCTTGCTTTTGTGCAGGATTGCAAAGAAAACAAGGTGTTATTTAGGCAAAGATATTGCTCCCTACATACAATTAGTGCCATGAGGACAATGATTCTTCAGAGTTGGATTCCAAAGTACAAATCCAGAGATCTCTTTGCCCTTATCAGACCTTTGCCTTATGAAAAAGAGGCAATAACCACACAGATTTATTACTTTATCACCCCAGACAATAGCATACTTTGACAGATCATCAGAGTGGAAGAACATGTAACTAAACTACCTACTGTGCGAAAGTCTTCTTCAAATTTATAAGCACCACCACCGGTGGCACAAAGCACCGTATGTAGCGTGGAAAAGTTTTTATTTCTTCCCATTTGAATAAAAGTAGGCAAGTCATGGGTTGGGAATCTGATAAAGTGCAAATTTCCCTTTCGCCCAAAGAGTATCAAGTCCTTAAGTTCAAGGTGAACATCCCGAATACCAGTGGACCCATAGGCCACATTTGATGTTAAATATTTGCGAATACTCTTCAAACTTTCAACTTCTTCCTGCTCTTCTTCTGCAGTAATATCTATAGGTTCAAAATATGCAAGTTTCACTAGAGTTCCACCAATATCCATTCCAAACCACGGAAAAGCTGTGAAGAGAGAGAGAGAGAAAAAAGCCTTACTGTTAGAAAGATATACCACATATTATTTTATTTGCCAGGCTTCTTTATTCTTATTAAACGATTAAGGAAAATTGTTTGGTGTTATTAAAGGCTTTCATAAGAGCAGAGGACAAGTTCACTCCTATGTATTTGCATTTGTTACCATGTATCATAAGGATTTTGTTACATAGTATAGCATGTCACAGCTTCGTTTAAATAACAGAGTTATCTCCAATGGCTTGTTCAATTATGCATGTGTAAATATGTATGTGTATATGCACAATTCTAACAGCAAGAGCACCTATGGGTGTTTCATTGTTTTTTTCAAAAGCAATTATTAATATTACACAGGAAATGTGAGTTGAGGCTAGCCATAATACTTCCAGAATAGTTTAAGCATTTGAAAACATTAGATGAAAACATTAGGGCATAGGTTTGATACTGTTTTTAAAATATTTGCAATAGGACAATGTATATTTTTCATTTGAAGAGGTTGTAGAACAGGGTTTCCTAAACTGTGAGGTGTACCTCTCTTGGGGAGATGGAGACAGAGTCCAGGGGAGGTGCGAAGAACCTTTTAGTCATACATTGTTACAATAAATTCACCTTTTCCCAAGTTCATGTGTGTTCAGTTTGGTGTATGGATTTTTAGAGGAGGTGTGTACATTACTAAGAGGAGGTATGATGGCAAAAAGCTTAGGAACCCCTGCTTTAAGTTTTTTATCTAGCTTGCTCCACAAGTTGCAATTATTATGTTAAAATCCATACTTGAAGCAAATACTGGAACATAAGTCACTTGTTTATAACTCTTTATTACCATGCAACAAAGTTAAGTGAACTAAGAAAACTTTGAACGTTCTTTCTGCCAACAGAACAGTAATAATATTCAGCCTTAAAAGATGAACAGCCATTTATTTGAAGTTAGATTTTTATGGACCTGTTGGGGGAACATAAGTCTGAATGACTCTAAATATGGTTAACAGAAGCAAGTTAGCTGTCCTAGTTTTAGAAAAAAAAATTTAGGTACATTTTCAATTGAAGGTCCCAAATTTTCCACAGTATCTTTTTGCTTTTATGAAG